TCAGAAAAAAGAACACAAGAATACTACCTCACATGGAAGCCAGTCGAAGTCGACGAAGAACGAACACAGTTGACAGCTGTAGGTCACGTGCAACAACAGACACAAGGAGCATGGCTGCTCTCCAAATGGGTCCCTTCTTTTGTATTGACCCACTAATGATTACTGATCCCCTCTTTCTAACTCTTCCCCCAAAAATAATATATCGCCCCTTTTAAAATGTATTGACCCACAAATTAATGAATATTCATGAGCACAGAAACGGCTACGTCATGAATAAATTAGCATAATTAAAAAAAATTGCATAAAGTGTAGGTACGTCTTCTGGAATCCTGCTGTATTTTATAATTAAATAACAGGGGGGGACTGTGACATTTATGTCTTGTTTTTTTTATTTACATAACCTGCACCTTATGTACTAAGTAACAGTAATTGACAATAAAACTGGTAGCGAACAGTGGACCTTTGGCCACCATGATTTCCCCTCGCAAAACTGCAAAAACAGCTTGAGTTTTTGTTCTTCTGTTCAGAACCACTGAACACATATATCAGAAAAGTGTATTTCAGAAGTTTCAGAAGTTTTTCATGATTGGTCATGTGGTTTGGCTGCCATCTTGGATTTCTTCTAAACATGGAATAAATTTTTATTCATGCCATATTTTTACACTCTGGAGATGAATTCTTTCATCCAAATATCACATGGCTATGGTCACATAATTACTCATACATGTAACACATATGTTTCTCTTTCATAGTTTCCATTTGAAAGTTTGTATTGTCAAGTCAGCATTTTTTGTTGATTATATCAGTTGGGGGATTTTTGATTAATTGAATTAAAGCCAGCTTAGCATGCTTTTAAAACAACTATAATTGTGCAGAGCAGTCTATGTCTTGTAATAGTAAATACTACCTAGGATAAATTGAAATTATTGGTAGCAATGGTTTATGGTTATTTAGGTAAAGGCAAACCTGGCTGCTGGAGAGCCATGCAGCCTAGACATTTAGTTTACTTGCTGACTGTCCTTGGTTCATACATACATGTAGCTTTATATATAATCTGCTGAAAAAAAACACACAAGTTTTATTAGTCCCCATTTGGATGCAGTCCGAAAACAGGGACTTATGGATCAACCTCTGTGTTTTTGTGCGTGCATCCGGGTCTATATGGACTGATTACATTCAAACTTCACACATACCGTGTACATCATACATAATATGCACATCAATTTGTTTCACGATCTGATTCAGCCATTTTTCTCCCGAAAAATCTTCAAAATCTTTTTGGATGGATTTTGCTTAGACTTGGTACAGACATTGGACATTATAGGACCTTGATGCACGTCATTTTGTTTTTCAGATCTGACTCAAAATGGCTGAATGGCAGTCATTTCGTTTTAATGAATACCATATCTTTGACATGCTTTGTCTGATTATGTTCAAATTTTATATATACATTATACATCATGTCAAAGATATACAGATGGACACCGATCGGTCATTTTGTTTAAATTAATGCAGTTCCAGAGCAATATCTCCCAATATGGACAAATACTTGTTTGACGATCAGAAACAAGATGACTGAATGTCAATCATTTTAATGTTTGAAAAATCATCATAATCAAGCATATCGCTGACATGTTTATATTCCAGCTATATTACTATGAACAAACTATATATCTTAAATTTGATAAATAACAGGGACTGTGCCATGCATGTATATTAATCAGGTATAACACTAACAATATAATCTATCCTTTGCAGCATTTACAGGTTTTGAAACAAACAACAAGTATGAAATTAAAAACAGTATGGGACAAAGGGTTTATTTTGCTGCAGAAGGTAAAATCTTTAGTAATAGTTCATTAGGGGTCCAAGCCAATTGGAGCTTGGGCCCTTCTTTTTTTTTTTTTTTTTAACTTCTTCCACTTTTTTTGTTCACACTTGTTTAAGAAAAACACTGAAAGGGCTTCAAACTTTCTGTACTCAAGGGCTACTGTGAATTAGTGTCCCCACTTTCAAAGTGGTGGTTGGTCACATGGTTTGGTAGCCATATTACTTCTTCTTGTCTCAGTGATATGAAATTTGTTTTTGTAGCATTGGTGATTTATGGTCTACTGATATCACAAATAAAAATTTTATCACATCACATGACTAATTAATATTCTAAAAAATGGCATACTTTTCAGTTTTTAGCAACAAATAATGTTTGGAATAATGAGTAAATGTTATTAGACATATAGGCTCTCCAGGCCGAGTTTATGACGTAGCACTAAACAACCTCAAATTTTGCATTATATCGCTTTTCAATCAACCTCTTATCGCTTAATTTCTGACTTGTCTTTTTCAACCAAAAAACAACTGCGTCTTTTTTTTTTACTGAGTACTCACTCACAGAACCATATTTGGTCATAAAAAAAAATTCTGCACGAGAGTTACAAAAATCATGAATTAAATAAAACTTTTGTTCATAAACTCTGGTAGTACATGTACCAGAATTAATATGTGCATAAAATAAAATGTGCATAGTTATTCATTGTAAAGATATAGAAATCTATGACGAAATTTCACAATTTTATTTTCCAAAAGAGGCCTCAGTATGGCATACAGTGAACTAAAATTGTCATTTGCATACTAAGCCCCTCTAAAACACAAGCCTGAATCTTATTAATATGTTATGCCAAGCATTCCAAAACACATTACCGGTATATTCATGTGCTTCTTGTTGTATATCCTATAGATACTGACTGTTGTACACGACAATGTTGTGGTTCAGCTCGTCCTTTTGATATGAAAGTTCTTGACAATCAACAACGAGAAGTTATTCATCTTCATAGACCACTGCGATGTTCTTCTTGTTGGTATCCATGGTATGTACTAACCTTTTTTGTTCCTGCTGAAATGAAATTATGACCAGTGTGCCCTCTAAGCTGATATGACACACCACTGACGACTTAAGATTTGCTTTGCAACAATTAGTTTCACTAATTAACTTATAAAACATTTTGCTAATACATGTACTGTTATAGAATATTTAATTTGGTAAAATGAAATTCACATTTTATAAACAAAATAAGTGTAAAAAGAAAGGAAATAAGGGACCGCAACTTTTTTGTTTGTGCCTCAAGACATCTATACAGTATATTTTGACCTGAAGATCGACCTCCCCAGAGTATCAGGTTCATCTTCAGTGACAGGAAATGATAGATATTTCATGCGTCTCAGTGTTGGACCTTGATGTAGCCCCAAAGGAAATCATTTTGACATGACACAATTAACACTCATGAATCTGGCAAATAATGCAGTGGAACATGACATGTACTATTTTTCGATGAACACTAAGTTCAATTAGATAAAGCTAGCTATACAATTTTCAAATGCCTCTATACTACTATTCATTTTGTCAAGAAGTTGGGTAGTATTTATTTTGTGTCCATTATCAGGTTGTGAAGCAGTAAATAGCATAACATAATAACAACATTTGTTTACACCTTGTAATAACTGACAATGTCATTATTCAATATTACCATTGTCATTGCATGGGTTTGACGTTCGAAACTATTGAAATTTTCGTCCACCGGGCATCGGCAAACATCACCAGAAAAGATAGTATCAAAAGAAGGGCATGCCCAAACACTTTTTCTGTGATAATATTTTTTAGGAATCCTCAGGAATTTTTGTTGTAGACACTCAAAATCTTGTTCTTGTTACAGTTGCTAATAATTAAAACATGTGAAATACGTGAAGTCAAACGTTCATCTGTTGAATTCCTGTCTGTGAAATACGTATTTTGACCTTTCGCACCTAAACAAACCGAGTACGCATGTGTGATGACCATAGTTTCATGATGCGCATACATTTTATGGTCACATTTAAAAATCTGCAAGGTTATGTCATATTCCGCCAACTTGTTACTTGTGTAAACAATCGCAAACTATCATCGACATCAAAGATGAGCTAGACAATGTCCTCATCAGGATTAACTTGGGTTGAAACAAAAGAAAATAAGCCTGTAAAGAAGCTTAAGTGGCCACTGGAGAGGCGTCGTGGCTCCTTCCGTTAGTACCTTCCATGGTTGGAAGGAGCTGTGCTGTTCCTGTCCTCTGTGCACATAAACAAATCATAGTAGTTTAGTACAGTACCTTTGTTAGCCCTTGTCACAGCACACAGTCTGAGATGGGGGCTCATGGATTTTGCTTTGTGTGTCCATTTATCTGTGTCACATCATGAAAAAATTTCTTGGCCAAATTGCTGTAATGTGCTGCAGTTCAGCAAGTTTCTTCAAAATTCACGCACATTTAAGGGTATTTTTAGGCAAAAAAAATCTTTTTTTGGGGGGGGGGGCAAAATAAGCTGAAAACAATATTCTGTCAGCTTTGTATTTACCAAATTTAAACTGGGATTGTATACTCAGTATTATGAGACACAATTTGAATATTTGAATATACGTATGATGAACCAGTCATGGCTGCTGTTTCAGTCAATTAAGCCACATCTAGATTTTCTTTAAAGGCATAATCAAACAATTTTATTAATTCAATACTGCATACTCTGTGGGAGCTGATTGTAAACTATATTAGTGTGCAATCAGTTGGGTACTCCTACACAGTCTCATTGCGAATTCAGCGCGAGATATATGATCATGGTCTACTGGTAGTTATTATCTTTATTAGTTGCATGATAGAAAAAATCTACTGATTGGGGAATAGATTGGAGGGATAGATTGTTGTTCTTCCTGATAGAAAACAACTTGCCGAGTGCTAACAATATCTAGGAAATAACAAAGAGAAAAAAACGTACACATCGAGATCGTCCAGACAAAAGAGTATGTCTGCAAGAGTCAAGAACCTTGTCAACTTGTTGTCGAATGGTGTGACTAACAGACCGATTGTATGTCAACTTTGGCCGAAGATTGAACAGTTTCATGGGAATCTTTTGCAAAATCTGCCATTCATTGCTGTTGAACTTGTTGGCTACTGTATAATATTCTCTTCTGATGCACTTGTGCTTAGGTATATATGTTGTGATGAACACACTGTTATGTTCACCACAGATGCCAGAAAAGCTTCTAAAGCCAACTGAACCCGTTTCAACTCCTTCCAGCTGATATATCTGTCCAAATGTACTTGCTGATTCATCATGTGCACCTCCACCCTTGATATTATCAAGTTTGTTGGCAAGGCGGGGATAAAGGGTACACCCCAGGAGGGGTACCCCAAGTCAGACCTGGTACCCATGCTGAATTATAGCTTTTCAAGTCGCTAACCACATACTTATTTTTGTGAAATTGTACCCCTTTTCAACTGCAGAAAGCTAAAATAAATACCATACCCTATATACATACTAAAATCATACTTTTTCCAAGTTGAGGGAACATGAATTCATGATATAATATTCCTTTTGCGCAACACATTCTGTCATCATCCATCTCAAATTCCTCACATTCATTTGCATTTGAAGCATGCGCCACGTAAAACATCTCTTTTGTCCAGCCCCATTTTGTCAAGTAATCTCGCCAAATAATACAGAACGCATTCGGAACCCGGAGGCACAACAATCAGATACAGTTGTTAATAAAACAACGCTAACTTGCAGATTCTTCGGCAATTTTGTCATGATTTTTCTACTTTCATTTGTTTTATATTTTGTGGAAAAATGTGAGGTGACAGCCCGAGAAATATCCCTTTTTAGCTCCGCTCTTGACTTTGTTTATGTACCTTGGGCAACCCTAGCTTTCTCAGATTTGTTCATTTCGTTATAATATCTTCTTATCTCTAATATTCATGAATATTTTTCTGATTGCTTTGATACTATACATATAGGTACCTCAAGTAGACTTCTCTCAGACTTGTTCATTTTGTGATGATATCTTTAATTATTCAATTTTGATGAATATTTTTGTCATTTTGGGTAAAAAGTGTTATTTTTAAATTCTTGTTGAAAACAGCAAGTTTGATTGCTTTGATACTATACATATTGTTCATTTTCTAATGGTATCTTCTGTGCATTGCTAACAGTGGAGCTATCTCAGCCAACAGGCTGATGCGTATCTCCAAGACAAGTGAAAGTGGACCCTTTATTTATATATTTTATAATATTCAACCCTAAACACGGTATATGCGAATGTGCATTAAATAATTTAAAACTAAATAACACCCCTTCACGCGTTTTTTACTTCACCTTGCGTACCATATTTTATTCAGATTGATTGCTACATCAATCAACAAATGATCATTGATGGTCCACCAAACTAGGGATTCTATGCACCTGCTCGAGAGGTGTATAGAGAAGTCTAGGTATCTTTTGCAAGACATACTTACTGAAGACATCGTCAGGCATTTATACAAGGCTACACAGAGTTGCCTTTATTACCATGTAAATATCTGTGAAGTCGAGTAGCAATGAATGGTGTTCCCTGGGTCTCATAAAAACTAGCTAGCAAAGTCCCCGTTCGGACGAAGTCTGAAAATGGGGACTATCAATTTGGGTTTGTTCCACCCATCCATATGTACATCTGTCCAGAGCTATATCTCGGACACCCATTGACGGATTTCATTCAAACTTTATATGAAGACAATACATAATGTCCTACATGTGCACGTCAAGCAAAAATGGTCGACTGGCAGCCATTTTGAATGTAAAATATGCTATTTCATAGTTCTATTTCTGATACCTAAACGTGTCCGAAGCTCTTTCTCAGAGATGACTGGGCCGATTTGGATCAAACTTGGTATGATGATCATACATATTGGGTTATAGGTTCACTTCATATTTTTTCCGTGATTCGAACAAATATGGTCGACTAGTGGCCATTTTGTTTCTCATGGTACCCATGCTACTTTCTTTTGAATGCAATAAACATTTCTCTTTAAATTTTGTACAAAGATAGTATACCAAGGGATACATTTGTACCAACATTATTTTTGTGATTCGATTCAATATTCTTGACGCCCAATTTTTTTGTAAAAGCATTATAAATTGTCATTTTTTTATGTCCGCAGCTGTTTCTCAGAGATGACTAGGCCAATTTGGATCAAAGTTGGTATGATGATCATGCATATTGGGTTATAGTTGCATGTCATATTTTTTCGGTGATTCAAACTAATATGGCTGACTGGTGGCCATTTTGTTTTTCATGATACCCACGCCTTCTTTCCCATAAA